GTGTACTAGAGATTTTGGTCAAAAATTCAAAAATAAAAATGAGAAAAATCAAGAAGTTAAAGCAACATCTTCACAAAAAAGAAGAAGGAGAAAAGCAATATTTAGGGCCATAAAATGTTAATCTCTAGTACCAAAGTGATTAAGCAAGAGTTGATATGAAAAAGAATATGATAAAATAAGGAAAACTAGGTACCTAACTCCAAAGGTTTAAGCCTATTATCCCAAACTATCCTACCCTGATATAAGCCCCATTACAACCTAGAAAGACCTCCAAAAGTGTGTGTTTAGATGACTTTGATTGATCTTATTAGAAATTTTACAAACTTATGGTAAAATACTTTTGTACGTTGATTGTGTGATTACCCTATCAATTCGAGTGAAAAATTAGTGAGCTGAGAGACAAGTTGAGCACTTGTTGTGTTGGAAGAACTTTTCCAAATTTGCTCGATTGAAGTCGGGAACTAGAATGATGATTAGGTAACATAATTGGTTATATTTATTCGTTATTATTTCAATTCGTTTTTCTGTTTGAAATGTTCAGTTGCAGGTGAGTTACTTGAGGACAAGTAACAAATTAAGTTTGGGGTCGTGATGACAGTTTGTCATTACATGATTTTTATGAGCATTTGCAATGAATTCGATGAAATTACAAGTTAAAGATGAGCTAAATATGAAGAAGTATGAAGAAAATGAAGAAGTCGAAGAAACATAGCAAAACCAAGAAATCGACAAGAAATTATGAAGAAACGAGTATTTTTCAACACATCCTACATCTTGACGTCTGTCCAGTAAATTTATCATATCTGAAGTTTTGTAACTCGTTTTGAGACATGTATTTTTTTCTTTTCAAAATGAAGCTAAAAGGAATATCTAACTTCAAGAATAATCACGCGCATGATGGAAAGTATCGTACACGCGATGCAGCGTGTGGAAAATCATGCGCACGCTGGAAAAGTATCACGTGTGCGATGAGTCTTTTCTGGGCTTTTCTGATGCGTTCTGACTGCTTTAAAAGGGGGAAGTTTGGTACTTTTCAAGGGTTTGCAACTTTACACGAAAAGTGAGAATTTACAACACCATAAGGCATACTTGGAGAGCATTTGAAGCCATTGAAGACCAATTCTTCAAGGGATTTAATATGCAAACCTCTTATTATTATTTGTTATTGTAATTTTAATTATGAGTAGCTAATTCTCTCCAGGTTAAATTATGTTTGATGAACCTATTTTGATATTGTTGGGACATATGTTTGATTTGATATTGCATGAGTAATTTGATCTATAATTCTATTCAATTACATCTTGATCTTAATACTTTTTATGTGAGATACTCTTTTAATCTGATTTTGAACACATCGAAAATACTGACCATTAGTCTATGTGTTGGACCTAGGACAATTGTTGTGCTTACGCTGGTTGAATAGGGATATGAGAATCCGAGTAGTGACTTTGGAATTAATGCTCTGTTTCATTGCCTAATCTTTCTTACGTTAGTGGACTAGGGATAAAAAAACTAGAGTATTGATTAATGAGCTATACACCAAGGGATTGGGTATAACAGTTTTGTTAATTCGTCGTGGGATCATAGTGATGATATAATTCATGTAATGTAATCAACATCAACAATAGATAAATATGAGATTCTATACACAACCTGACCGTTTTTGTAAATTTGTCAAAACACTTTCTTTTGTTTTCGCAATTAAAACTCGCCCCCCCCCCCCCCCCCCCCCCCCAATTTAGCATTTTCTATGCATTGCAAAAATTTGTCTTGTTAAATAGTAGTTTCTATGTATGCGATATTTTGTATTATTGTGACATTATCGGTACACTTGTCGAGAAGTCATCACAATATTTGACAGAATGATAAGACTGAATGAAAAAGTTAATATTTTGGAAGCTGAAGTTGGAAGAAAGTGTGAGAGATATAATTAAACAGGAGGAAATTCTAAGACAAGAATGTTTGGACAACAAAAGCCCATAAGTTGAAGACGTGGAGACAAATGAAAAAAGGGTAGGAGTGAAATTTCTAGACCATCCAATTTTCTTATATGGTAGATTATATATCATTTGAAGAAAAAAAAATTAAAACAACGTATTAAATTAAAATTGAAATGCTATTCATTACCAATAATTTTGCTATTATTATTAAGACTATTTAGAGGGTCAACCAGATTTTTTCCTTCAGAATCTTAGCTAGAACCTTAACTTTCTGGTGATTGATGAAAGACATGGAAATTAATCTCTTCCCAAACTCCTTCATGTGACATTGAAGGTTTTTATTAAAGATCAAGTTAAAAAAAACAAAGACAATAAAACCATGATCAAAAAGAGCAACAAATCTTTGCTAACCATTGATAAAAGATACAATGTAAAAAAAAATAGTCTCATCATATTAAAACTTGAAGACTAAGAATTTTAATCATAAGGAAAAATGAAGCAAAATGTATTTGACACATCAAAATCACAACCTTACTAATGGTAACGCCTTGAGTTGGAACAACAATCAGAATCAAAAAGGGATATAAGGTAGGAGATGGCTAGGCTAAGGTTAGAGAATTTACGGGGTTCTGTCTCATCTTCTCATCACTATTATGTTTTAATTGTATTTGTAAAACAAATTACCCGTGGCAATATCCTACCGTTTTGATTAATCCAATGGTATAAAGTAACTAAGACACCCTTAGTTTATCAAGTTTAATTTATATTATTTGCAATTTTTAATGCTGAAGAATAAAAAAAAGCTAAGATACCTTCAATTAAAGCTGCCAAAATGGGCGGCCCGATTCTAAACGGGTCGGCTATGACGAAACTAATAGAATACGAGAAAATAATGTTGATTATATTAATGTATAAGATTTAAAAGAGAAAGATTGAACATAATAGAGATAAAATTTAATGAGATGAAAAAATCAATGTATTATTTTAGAGAAAGACAATATAAATATTAATATAACTTTTTAAAAATTTATAGTTATGCGAGTCTAATGCACTACCCACTATTCATACAGGTTAATCCTAACGGGTAGCAGGCTTTTTAAGACCGAGTTAAAAAGCCCAAAAAAAATATGAGCTCTAATTTTAAGGTCCAAGTCCTGTGATTTTTCAGACCTAGTAGACCAGCTCATATGGGTTAGCCCATTTTAACAACTCACCCTCAATGGATTTGCAAAGAAATGTCAATGGAGATCGGGAGTAGAGAGAACAATACAATCAAATCCAACGGTTCTTAGTTGTGGTCCACAAACCTCTTATTTACTAGTACATCACCTATAAAATATAGAAAAAAGAGCATTTCTTATTGCACCCCACGCGTTTCTTAGACACCATGCAGATTTTCAAAAATACCCCCTGTTTTCGAAGATATATCTCCGGACGCACCCTAATACACTCATTTCAATCGTTTTTTAGTCATACCCCAATTGTATTAATAAATTTATTCCGAAAATATATCTTCGTTAAAATTTCGAAATCGATTAAATTAACTAAGTAATGTAGTGTTCATCTTCTTCGACCACCAATATCTTTTAGGTCATTTTTTATCATCCAAATAGACCATCGTAACCTTAAGGAATTTCTTAACTAAGTTACTCAAACTCCAGAGTAGCAATTCTATTTTTCCAAGCCATTAGGTTACGATTATGACAAGCCAGGGAGCACCAATATTGTGGTTGCCTTGTCAAGAGCTTTTGAAGGACAAGAAGTATCCTTGCATATTCTATCAATACCTTAGTTCCTCTTTTTTGAAGAATTGAAATAGAACCTTAATGCTAATAGAGACTATAAAGCATTTAGGGACAAGTTTGCTAACTCACCATTAGATTTTCTAGAGTTTACACTGTGTGACGAGCTTGTCTTGGAAAATTTTAGATTGTGCCAACTTCTAGATTTGTGACTCTTCTACTTAAAGAGTTCCATGAAACACCAAATGGAGATCACACCAAAATTTTTAAGACATTTAAGTGGTTATCAAGAAAAAAATTTATGGTCCAACATTTAGATGAATGTGCAACAATTCATATAAGATCGTGTTGTTCGTCAACAAACGAAGTACCACAGCTAAGCCCGCGAGTCTCCTCCAACCTCGACCAATCCCTTCCAATGTTTAGGAGGACATTGCGCTTGATTTTACGAATATATTCCCATTTTCCACAGTTATTCGGTAATACTAGTGGTTGTTGACGGATTATCTAAAGTCATTAGTATGTGTGTTTTGTCTTCATGGTACATTGTGTATAAGGTGGTTGAAGAAGATTAACAATATATTAATTAGTTAATTTAACATCGGAATTTTTCTAAAAACATATTTTTGAAATAAATTTATTAATATAATTAAAGTCAGACTAAAAAACAATTGAAATGTGTATATTAAGATTCGTTCAAAAATATAAATCTAAAAACAGAAAACATTTTTAAAAATATGTATAATATTTGAGAAACACACGTGATACAATAAAAAATACTAAAGAAAAAAAAATTACAACAAATTTGGGTCTAAAAGGCCTTTTCTGTTTAAACGTTCTACCTAACATTGAACTTAGAGGTGACAATGAAATCCATTTAGATAATATTCATCCAATTCATCCATAAGACAAAAAATAATTTAATGGATTTGATCCAATCCATCCACTGACTCATATGGATGAATTCAATCCATTCATCTCATTTTATAAATCTATTGAATATTATGTTTTCATTTATTAAATTAAGAATTTTTAAATAATTTTTTGGATGGATGAATATCCATCCATTAGAAATATGTTAATAGATAGATTGAATGAATTTTATCTTGGATGGATTAAATTGGATTTTTATTAAAAGAGTTCAGTGAATTGTTAATGGATTAATAAATTGCTTAGATCCATCCATTAATAATCCAATCCATATTCATCTATTTTGCCACCTCTACTTAACTAGTTAACACTATCTTGTACTCTAGTAGAATAGATCAACAACACTATCGTAGCCGTGCGTTCATTTCCTCTGCATAGACTGAAAGAAATGGTAATCACAAACTTCAACGGAGCCGGCGTCGGATTTGGTATGTCAATTTCGTTATCACCATCCCCTCTCCAAACCCTAAATCACTCACACTCCTATATTTCTCTTTGCAGGTTTCGGTGTTGGTTGCGGTTTCGGTGTTGGATGGGGTTTCGGAGGTCTGTTTCTGCACTCTGCATTCTTCTTCTTCTATATGCTTCAATTCGTTTCTAATTTCTTTTTTATGCGTTCGTTTTCACATTTTCTTTTCAATTTCCTTTTTATTCTATTCTGATGTCAATGTTTCACTTTGAGTTATGTAACTGATTGTATATTGGTATTTGTCAACTATTGAACCTGGAAATTTGAGAGGAGTGGGATAAGATTTGTGAGATGGAAATTTGAGAGGAGTGGGATAAATTGATGGTTTATTCATTGTACTCCACTTTCTACTAGTCTTCATTTTTGTAACACGAAATAAGTGTTGACTAATTTTCATTTTTTTACCAGCATATTTTCGGCTGAACCAAGCACACCCTTATTATCTTTCTCAGTTTCTCTTGCTCAAAATTTGTCTATATGTTGTTACTTTCATTAGTCATATCTTCTATAAAGTTTCAGCCTAATTTCATCTCCCTCCCCCACCTCTCTTCTTCTCTTATTTAGTTTTGTGAGGTCAGTGTCTCTATCTATATTAATCTTTCGAGTTATAAAATTGCTACACATCTAGCTATAGTAATCCTTGAGTTATACTATCTCCGTTCCTTTTTATAAGAGACAGCTCAATTTTTAGGCTCATTGAATAATCGATGTATTTGGTCAGTTTTTAGACCAGGTACATTGATTATTCAATGAACCTAAAAAGTAAGTTGTCTCTTATAAAAAGGAACGGAGGTAGTAAACTAGTTACATTCTCTTTTCAAAGTCATGTCACTCAGGACATTGCAAGCTTATTTACCCTCCCATCATTATTGACCCGTTTGTTACAAACCAGAATTACTCAAAATATTGAAATTGCATTATTAATAGAAAAAGCCAGAAATATTACGGAAGAAATCACCTGTAATCATTGAGCAAAGCATCTCAGTGAAGAGATAACTCTTCATCTGCCAAATCTAAGGTTCTCATTGAACAAAATGATCAAAGATACCCTCTCTTCCTCACAATCCCTAAGAACAATATTGAGCACTCCCAACATAATGGGCCTGGGGCAAGTAATTAGTCGATTGCCTATTCGGGTCCACCTTGTCATACTGGGTCCTAACATCGCCACCATCTTGACAAAGAGACTAGTCCTCAAGTCTGTTTAGGAACTTGACTCCTATCATTCACTTCTTTCTCCCATGTACCTTTTTTCACAACATCTCTGTTGCACTGAACTGAAAACTAGTGAGTAGGATTATTTCTTCCAAAAACTCTCCTTTTGCAATAGTCACTGAAGACCAGGTTCCTTCCTCCCGGATCCCACTATTGTTACTTAGTTTGAGGAGCTAGCTTCAAACATTTGACCACTCCACACAATGTCAACCTCTCTACATTTGGTGGCATCTTGTTACTTTTATTGACCTGTAGAGGAACTAAACCCTCATCCATCACAACTCGATCAAAGTAAATAATAAGCTTATTTGATGCTTCCAATCTATATCTAATGCCGCATCTTCTATAATTCTCAGCATTGAAACCCCATTTAGCTTCCCTTCCAATCCCATAGTTGTTCCTCTTGCATGTATGTGATCCGTCAACATAATGAGTAGCTTCCTTATGACTTACCGAGGATGCAGAAATGTGTGTTTCACAATATCAAAAGAACAAACCTTTTTAGAATCAATACAAGCATCTTTGGAGGCCTCACGCTCAAGGTAAAACTTGCAAATGGCCAGGGAAAAACATAATTTTGGGAACTCAACAAAATGATCGCTTTTGTAATATTCATAGGTCTTTTCCAGCCATGTATACTCTCCAACCCTTACATCGTATAGCCAATGTAGAAAGTAGCTCCAATAGGATCATCAGAATATACCGAAAGCAAGAATTTGTGTTGGCTCTAAAGCATATCTAGAACTGCCGCACCTTTATAAATTTGTCATGTGAATGAAAAGAGCTTTGAATATAGGTTTGTGGGTACCTTGCCATATTGATGGATTATTTGGAAGTAATGTCTGAAAATTTTTATTTTTTAGTTTATTTGGAGTTATTATATGAGAGCTGAGAATTGGAATGCGTTGTAGTACTCCTACTTTTTAGGGGTCTCACATTTATCCGGATAAACACAAGAAACAGAGTTACAGTCAAAATAGTCCAACACTATCTAAATAAATAAAAAATGATATTTTCCATAGGTTTCGAATTTTGAATCTGATATATGAAAGTCCTTACTTAGGATTATGTGATAGATCAATAAGGATCGATGCTATTGGTATTTCTTATTTTGAGCGAATTGATTGCTTAGCAGACTACTCATTTAAATTGATCTATGTTTAGAGCTTTAATTTTGTTTTTACTGCAGTTGTGAGAGATTTACTATGTGTTTATTGTTCTTCCCTGTGTTATTTCCTTTATGCATATCATATAATCAATGAAAAGAATGCGATGGGCACGCCGGGTCTTCTCCGTGTTAGGCTATGCAATTAGATCTATTTGTTCCTTTTAAAGATGACGACATTTTTAGTGCTAGATTAAAACCATATTTGGGTTGAGCCTCTTAAACCCATTCCAATGTAGTTACAAAGTCAAGTTCTAACCACTAAAGTGACACATTTAATGAAGAGAAAATTAAAAAGATTTACTGTGTTGATGTAACTACCTGTGTTATTTCCTTTCTGAGTATCAAAATCCAATAAAAGAATGCAATACACCATATCTCTATTATTCTCTGGCTTGCTCAATTTACAAATGCGGCACATTAATGGTTAGTTCTCCATTCTTTTGTTTTTTTCCTGTTAAAAAAGGATACAACGTTGAATTATCTAAATGAAAAGTTGTGTATTGAGTGACATGTTTCAGTTTTAGCTACCGCGTTCTTCTCCAACTTGAGGAGTATTTCTGTTTGTAATTTTTATTAACTTTATCTCTACAAATGCCTAAGACCTATACAGTTCTGCCCCCCCTCTCATCATTTTTCTTATAACTTTAGAGATAGCTTGTCTGATCTTTTATCTACATCTGGTACAGGTATGCCATTGAACTTCTTGGGTCTTGGTGCAGGTATGATACTCATGAATCTTTTATTTATTTATTTATTTGATTTTCACTACTATATGATGTGGATAGCGATTTTCCTCCAAAACCATTATCATTATGAGGGTTACTTTGTATGCCTCCACATCAAATGTGGTCCACAAAAGAGCATGTTTATAGACAGTTGGATTAAAACGTTCACAGATAAGTTGATATTGATATATCCATTGAACAGATAATTAATAATTTATGGGTTAGGGTTGGCCCAATTCCCTCAAAATGACTATTATTTGTTAGGTTCAGAGTTTATTGTAACCTTTTACATAAGTTAAGTACTATGCATTTAACCTTTCATCAATTACATATATTCAATTTTATTTTGAAGGTGGAGGCTGTGGCGTTGGAGTAGGACTTGGTTGGGGTTTTGGTACTGCTTTTGGTAGTAGGTATCGGTTGTCAAGAATCACATTTCAAGGAATGGAATTTGACAGTAAGGAGAAAAGTGAGAGCACGGAGTTGTCAAAACCGAATCCAGAAATAAGAAGTTCAAGATAGCACCATCAACTTAAATGTAAATTGCTATTACTGGCCAGATATGTGATCTTCAGGGTTTCTAATAACATGTCACGATACCTGTGAAGATATACAAATTGTGTCCATAACTTTGCAGTTCCATTGTCTATGATTTATTGGACAATTGTATCAGTTGGTAGCAAAATTTATGTATGTGATACTGATACGGGAAATATATCTTTGGAAGTTGTGAAATATATCTTTAAACAACTTTTAATTAACTTCACTGTTTCTATTGCTATTATTTTTGGAATATTCATCATTCAATTTAATGTTACCATTGGCCACATCATATCTAAAATTGGATTTAATTTGTATGATTAAACTGTGTAGAATTTTTTATACCAAAAATCGATTATAATTGTTAGGTAATAAAAAGTGTTGATGTTTGTTAGAGATTATACAATAATATCTCCCTTTGAAGTTTTAATTTATTGGATGTATGAAAAAAAATATTTTACATTGACTGTTCACACAAATTAAAAAAAGTTAGGTTTGCATTCAAGTTGCTTAAAAAGTAGATGAAAATAAAAAGTGATTGAAAGATAGGATAAACCTTACTAAAAAGAGATTAGGTATCAAAATACGTAGACATGTTTTTATGAGGTGAGAAAAGAACCACATAACGTAACTTGGTTACTTGTATATACTAAATTCACCTTTGAAAATCCTATAAACGACGGTTACACCTTAACATGGTTTGATCTTCCTATCTACGCGGTAGAATGGTAGTTGATAACCTCAAAAAGAACCAAAAAACGTGATAATGCATCATTATCATATCTACCACCGTACTATAAAATCCACTACATTACAATCTTATTCTTTCAATTTCCAAACCATAATAAACATTATCATTTCTCCTCATTTACATCCATGGCAAATCAAAGAGTTTTCACCCTCTCACAAATCTCTCAACACAAATCCAGCAAAAACTGTTGGCTTGTCATCAACGGCAGAGTAAGTAACATATTCAACCATGTCATAATTTTACACTAACACTATAAAACCGTCATGAAAAGTATTTGAATTTTGTTTTGTAGGTGTTGGACGTGACAAAGTTTTTGGAGGAACATCCCGGAGGAGAAGAAGTGATTCTAGAGGTTGCAGGGAAAGATGCAACAAAGGAGTTTGATGCTATTGGACATAGTAAAGCAGCTCAAAGTTTAGTCATGAAATACCAAGTTGGTGTAGTCGAAGGTGCCATGGTTGAAAAGGTTGATGATGATAACGATGATGTTGTCGAAAAGGAATCGGAAAGCAAACAAATGAGTGCTTTTGTGATAAAAGATGATCCTAGTTCAAAAACTGTGACATTTTTGGAGTTTTTTGTTCCTATTATTTTTGCTTGTGTCTATTTTGGTTATAGGGTCATCACCGTAGAGGACAGTGTTGTCTAATAAACCATGGAAAATGTCTTTATAAGTTTTTGAAATTAAATAATTAAATCATAGTTTTTATTTTTATTTTTAAGTTATTCTTATTTAATATAAGTGTATTTCCGTTAACCACTTTGATCTTTTCCGTTAAATTTTGTGAACTATGATTAGTTTGTGCATGCGTGTGTTCAGTATTAACAAGTGTGAGTAGTGTGGATAATAATTCCACATTGAATAGAAATGTGGTGACTTAAACATTTATAAGTGAGAGAACACATACACCTATATAACCTTAAGCTTTTGAGTGAATATGTGGTGTGTCTGTCACAAAGGTGTCTCTCTAGAGAGGAAAAAGTGAAATAAAATTATTATATTATATATTAATTTAACTTTGAAAACATTTTATAAAAAAAACCATCTTGAAACTGTTTCATTATTTCATTTACACTTTTTAGTTTTCATTTTCACTCTATTCATACAAGTGAAAGTTCATTATTTAAAAAAAAACATATTTTATTTATATTTAGAGCATAAATATAGTTTTTTCATATATACAAATATTTAGATCAATCGTATATTTTCTCATATGTAAATATTAATTTTATTTTGACATTATTTATAAAAATATTTATGCAATCATTTAGTTTTATAAATATCATTTAATAATATAATTTTTGTAATTATGGTTTTAATTGTGTAAATAAATATTAATAATATAAATAAACACATTTTGTTCGTGTATAGATTCATATATTATTTTAAATATATTTATTTTTATTATTTTAATTATAAAAAAATATAATAACGCGTGCGTTCGTACGGACTATGGTCTAAATATCCGTGCGAATGTTTCTAAAATGTAATAAGGATAAAAAAAAGAACGACAAAATTATTTAATAATAAAAGTTTATTATTTTAAAAAGAAAAACATATATTTTTATTTATATTTGGAGTATAAAGATAATTTTTTCATAGATATAAATATTTGGATCAATCATATATTTTTCCGTATGTAAATATTAATTTTTTTTTGACATTATTTATAAAAATAGTTATGCAATCATTTAGTTTTATAAATATCAACTAATAATATAGTTTTTTTAATTATTGTTTTAATTGTATGAATAAATCTCAGGAACATAAATAAACACATTTTGTCCTTGTTTAGATTCATATATTATTTTAAATATATTTATTTTTATTTTATTTAATCATAAAAAATATAATAACACGTGCGCTCACACGGAATATGGTTTGGATACCCGTGCTTTGCACGAGTATTGGTGTGTTACGTGCATTTGTTTCTAAAACGTAATAAGTATGAAAAAAAGAAAGATAAAACTATTTAACAAAAAATGTTTATTATTTTCAAAAAAAAAAAAATTTTATTTGTATTTGGAGCATAAATATTTTTTCATATATACAATTATTTGGATTAATTGTATATTTTTCCGTATGTAAATATTAATTTTGTTTTGACATTATTCCTAAAAATATCTATCCAATCATTTTTTTTATAAATATCAACTAATAATATAGTTTTTTAAATTATTGTTTTAATTGTATAAATAAATATCAATAACATAAACAAACACATTTTGTCCATGTTTGGATTCATATATTATTTTAAATATATTTATTTTTATTTTTTTGAATTATACAAAAAAATTTAATAACTTGTGCGTTCGTACGGATTATGGTCTGAATATCCGTGCTTCATACGGGTATTGGTGTGTTACGCCTATTTGTTTCTTAGACGTAATAAGAATGGAAAAAGAAAGACAAAATTATTTAACAAAGACATTTTATTATTTTCAAAAGAAAATATATTTATATTTATATTTGGAGCATAAATATTTTCCTATGTATACAAATATTTGGATCAAACATATATATTTTGATATGTAAATATTAATTTTGTTTTGAGATTATTTATAAAAATATTTATGCAACCATTTAGTTTTATAAATATCAATTAATAATATAGTTTTTTTAATTATTATTTTAATTGTATAAATAAATATCAGTAACATAAATAAACACATTTTTCCTGTGTTTGAATTCATATATTATTTTAAATATATTTATTTTTATTTTCTTTAATTATACAAAAAATATAATAACTCGTGCGTTCACACATGTTATGGTCTGGATACCCGTGCTTCGTATGGGTATTGGTGTGTTAGCGCACTTTTTTCTAAAATGTAATAAGAATGGAAAAAAAAAGACAAAATTATTTAACAAATAAAATTTATTATTTCTAAGAGAAAAAAATATTTTCATTTATATTTAGAGCATAAATATTTTTCTATATATAAAAATATTTAGATGAATCGTATATTTTTTCGCATGTAAATATTAATTTTGTTTTGACATTACTTATAAAAATATTTATTAAATTATTTAATTTTATAAATATTAACTAATAATATAATTTTTTTAATTATTATTTTAATTATATAAATAAATATCAATAAAAAAAATAAACATATTTTATCCGTGTCTAAATTCATATATTATTTTAAATATATATTTTTTATTTAAAATATATTTACTTTTTTTAAAATTCTATTAATCGTTGTTAAACTTTAAATCCTAAAATGTTATGTTTTGTCCTTATTTTTAAACACGAGGATACAAACTATAAAAATGACACTGATAAAGATAATAACTTATAAAAAATAAATATAATCCATAAACAGTAAATACAATTAGTTATAAACAATTTCTTAATCATTACTTTTTTATACACAATACATAATTTTTTTCTTTTATTATAGACCCAGTATAGCATAACATAGTAGATAGTAGAGCAGGTAATCATGTACTTAGTATTTAAGTTTTATCTATTTTTAATTGATTTTTTTAAAAATAAAAGAGGGCAAAAGCTCGAATATATTAAAATAAGAATAGATACAAAAGTGAGAGAGACATAAAATCGAAATCTCAAACCTATATGTTCTGGACTGGGCTAGAGGTTGGCCCACTGTCGGACACGGTCCAACCCAGCTCCCCGTCGGGGAGGGCCCAATGAAGGCCCAATCCTCCAACGCCCACAGAGAACTCTCACACGTCTCCCCCGCGTTCTCCATGTGTCCCCACCCCCCCACGCGGGGACACATCATCATGCAACTGTCCACCTCCCTAAGATCACAGAGCAATTGAGCAAGGGCGAAAACCACGTGTTGGTCTTCCCTACGCCACGTAAGCCCTAACAGTTACTCGTATTAAGCCTTGCTATCAAACCAGTGCAAAGTAACCGTTGGCCCAGCGCTGGGGGCACATTATAAATACCCTCTTTCACTAGAGGGTCAGGTATTCAATTATCTACACACTTTCCTGTACTTGCTCTTTCTACTTTGTGTCTTACTTTGGCATCGGAGTACCTTGCAGGTACACCCCATCCTCTTCTCCACCACCGACAAATTAAAGAGCTCACGACATGTTGTTGGCTGCTGATCCTTTTCTGATCTCGGTAAGATCAGTGGCCTCGTCTGTGGGAAACTTGCTTCCCCATTCTTCTTTCTGAAAGAAATTCAAGAACCAAAGCATACCTCAACCTCAGTTGATCATGGTTAGCCCACGTAATGACGACAACATCCA